TCCCTACGTTTTTTTTCTGGGAAATAGCTGACCTGTTTTCAATAAATCTGTGATGCATTCAAGTATATGCTTTATAGTTTTCAAAAAACCTAGATTTTCAGTTAATAGTTTGGTAAAATTTATAAACAATGGAAAAATGAAGTGAATAATGAAAAGTTTGATTCTGTTTCATTTATTTTTGTAGGTTTTATATGCTGGACTGAGGAAACTTCGTTAAAGATAATGGCCCTTATAAAAAAGAAAATAAAAAAAAGAACACCACAGGGGAAAAAAAACCTACAAAAAAACCAAAAAAACCAAAACCCCCCAAAAACCCAAACCAAACAAAAAAAAGTCTTTGGGGAAGGAGAAAGACTAACACTCCCAGAAAATTAGAATTTAGTTGTGTTGTAATAGTTTAGAATACCCCTCACAGGTGAATACTAAATGCTTTTGCAGTTAAATATTGGGGTAACCCCTTACATTTCATACAATGGAACTCTTAAAGGGACAAAGGAGTATTACATGCTTTTGGTGAGAGAGGAGATCCTAGCGTAAAATAACATGTTATCAGAACAGTATGATCTCTCTTCAGCTAAACTAGAACTCTCGTAGTCTGATTGTAGTGAGAATGTATTAGACGGAAGCAGAGAACAGTGTGTGTATGTATGTTGATATAAACTGATGCAGTGCACTTCACCTTTCTCTCACAGATTGTCATACTGAAGGGCAGAATATCCTTTTCACTGATGGGGAATATATTAATCAAATAGCAGCATCTAGAGATGTAAGTGTTACATATGATGGGTAAACTATTTTTCTCTCAACTGAATTGTTTTATTTTACAATACTTATAGCTTCCTTTTTGCTTAATGTTTGGCTTTTTCTTCGCTTACACAACTAAGGAAGAAATTCACATAACTAGAGATAATGAGAAGCTGCCATATTTGTGCATAAAGGAGCAGTATTTTGGTATTTATCCACACAATTTTGATGTGTGGTGGATTTTTCAGATTTTTTTGATTTTTCAGTTTCAGTTCAAGGAAAAATTTGTTGCTCTTTCTGAGGGAAAAAAATGTTATACATGGAATAATGGCTTTTTAATATTATTCTACAGGGTCTCTGTGGGATAAGCTTCTTAGAGCTTAATTACAGGTTTTTTTCTAATATAATTTCCTGTAATTGCTTTGGTACTTGTTGGGGAATTTCAGCCAGATTTAATAGAAAAATTATGAAAGATACTGCATTCCAATAGATTTTTATATGAAAATTGCCTATTGGCCAAAGCTGTGGAAATCCAGATAAGTGCTTCTACTTAGGACAAAACAGTTCTAGCTGTTCTGTGTTTTGTTCGACAGATAGTTACTACATTCCTAGGTCTGGACTAGTCACTGTTTTTTGACAGTGAGAAAGCTGTAAAATAGGGATGGGGCAGGGGTGGCGTGAGACAGGGTTGGCAAGAGATGCCAGACACGCAACTATAAGAAAACCAGGATTAATCCATTTCCCTGCTAATGGAACAACTTTTTTTTTAACATGGCTGGATGAAGAGACTTCATGTGCACTTGTAAACAGAAATTTGTTCTAGCTGCTCTTTAAAGCAGTCACTCTTAAACTGCATGCAGAATTTTGTGTTCTGAATCAGGAGAAGTTGAGGGCTGAAAAGATAGATGTAAATAGTTATAAAAGCAAGATTTCTATAGTGAGATTCAGAGTTAATTATTTCTATAGCAATTCACTATTTTCATAGTGTTTTCATAGAATTCAGTATATGTTTAAGGTCTGTCAGATGCTTATCTTCAGCTCATCCTGTTTGGCACTTTCTTCTTTCCTCCTTTATAATAAATGTCACTTTATCAATATGTCCTCTGATAATTTACCCTGAAATAGGATTATACTGATGCACTTAGGCCATGAAAAGTAAATTAATGCATTTGTTATACAGTATAAAGTAGATTTATTTATTTATTGCAGGATGGCTTTGTAGTGCGAATATTTGCAACAAGTACTGAGCCAGTACTGCAACAAGAACTGCAGCTTAAGCTTGCAAGAAAATGCTTACATGCCTGTGGCATCTCATTGTTTGATCTGGAGAAAGATTTGCACATTATCAGTAAGTCCTCTTCTTTGAAGGTTAATAACAAGCCTAGTAATTCAAATAATAAAACTGAAACGCTGCCCTTCCCTTTGTTTGCCTTTATTACGTGCAGGAAGGTATAGCTCCATTATAAACACGCAGAGAAGTACAAGGCTTTTGAAACTGCTTAAGCGTTGACTCATAGTAATCCATACACTCATTTTGAACCACCTTTCTGTCTATAGCACTATCCATGGTTTTCCAGTATTTTCCTCTAGTTGTATTATAAATTGTTTGAAGCTTGGGCTTCATAATAGTGCTCGTATAACTCATAGTTAAGCTATAGAACTCCTTGCTGTGGGTCAAAATTAACAAAAGTTAAAATGACTGCTGGCTGGATTAATGGAAAAGAAATGCATTGAAAGATACTAAATACGTGGAAACCACCTTTGCATCAGAGTTTGAGATGCAAAATTGCTGCTGTCTACGAAGGTGTTTTGGAGAAATATCACTTGGCCTTTGCTTTGGGTTTTTTTGCTCTGTTAGGTGTCTGCTTTTGGCACTATCAGAAAAAAAACATATTTGGCTACATGGACTTTTTGTCTGACCAAGTGCAGTTGCTCTTAGGCTAGTGCTTTTTTCCTCTTTGAACAACTCTGCCAGATCTAGCCCAGTAAGCCTTCTTGTGGCAGCAAAATTTTGTTTCACTTGTAACTTTCTTAGAACCTTTGTTATGACAAACTCTCCCTAGCAGAATTAGGTCTGTAAACTTGTCTGTGAAACTGCCTGGTTAAACTGTCCGGTTAACCCAATCTTACTCACACAGGTACAGGGTTTGATGAGGAATCAGCTGTCCTTGGTGCTGGAAGAGAGTTTGCACTAATGAAAACTTCTAGTGGAAAGGTACTGAAAATGTTCTGTAGTAAATAGCAAATTGTATCAATGTATTTCTAAATGTTTTTTAATTTAATTATTGTTTTCCACAATTCCTTTTTGCCTTTTTAGTATGTTAGAATGAATTTATATGACTGTATTTAAATACATTTTCAGAGCCCACTTTAGAGGGAAAAAGGCAAATGGTTATTTGAGAACATAAACAGATGGTGTTGGAACCATTGAGAAATCTGTGGCTTGAATTTATAGGAATTTCTACAGTCAATCTTACTTAGGGACAGTGTGGGGCTTTGTTTTAGATTTGGGGGACAAAATTACCTTTTGTCTACAAATGATGTATTAGCACATTTGCAAAATTTTTTACCTCATAACTTTCCATAAACAGTCTGACCATAGTAATTTATTTAAATCCCAGCCTGATTTTTTCCGATCCTTCAGAAAATCATTGACTTCCCCTATGCAAAGTTTTAAATTGATTTCTTTAAATCTATTCTTAATGATTTGATAAGTTGGTTCTTCTCAATGGAGACTGTTTTTCAGAGGCATTTGCATATTAATTGAAATTTAGACATAGTTTTGCTTACTGTCACTATGACTTTTTACATTATTTACTGTGTTTCTATTTTGGTTTGGGAAACTAATGTTACTTTACTTGTATAAGCATAGTTCGTTGTTTTCCTGTGTTCAGAATTGTGTTGCTTTAGTGGAATGAAGGCCTTGCTCTGCTGTTATCAAAACAGTTAGATTGTTGAAAATGTTCATAATCAAACGTAACTATTTTTTCCTAGTAAAATTTAATAGTATGAAACAGAATTTGATCAAGCAGAACTCTTCAGACATTAGAGGAGACAGATTGATTTGATCTTCAGACTAACAAATGCCTCTTCAATATAAAATTAACAAATTTCCTAGTTTTGATCTCTAAAGTTGTGTGTTTAGGTATGAAATACACTTTGTAAGACAATGAAAGATGGCGTTAGGTGTCCACATAGGTTAACACACCCATTTTATAGTACTGTTGAGTAGCATGGTTCTAGAGCAAACTTTTTAGTCCATATCAGTAGCTTTGTGTTTGTTCATGTGAAGTATTTTATTCTATGTTCCTATTTATGTACTCAGTGGCCACTGTGCATTTACTGAAAATAAGTTTTAAAGACGTATTGAAGCATATTTAAATTTGTAGTAATTTGGTATTTTAATTATTTTTATTGTTATAATTCCATCTTGTTTTTACACAGACCAGACATTTCTCTCAAGTGTTTTAAATGCTTAGTTTCCTCTGAGTACTTTCTTCTGAACAGTTCTTTCTTGTGTGTTCAACTCATCTAGCCAAACAATTATATATGAAAACTAACTCTGTGGCACAGTAGAAAGCACATTTCAAAACAAGCAGAATCTAATCAGAATGTTTCCCCCATTAAGTAAAAATTCATGGGTTTAGGATAGAGATATTGAAATGGTGTAAAAAATATCACGAAAAGTTCTGTATGGTTTGAAATGACAAGATTTAAAAACAATGCAACTTTAAAAATGATGCAAGTTTAAAGTGCTGTGGCATAACTGAAAATGATAAACTGTTTTCTCCTAGATTTATTATACTGGCAAATATCAGAGCCTTGGAATCAAACAAGGCGCCGCAGGAAAGTGGGTTGAACTCCCAATCACAAAATCTCCAAAGATTATTCAGTTCTCTGTTGGACATGATGGCTCACATGCCTTACTTGTTGCTGAGGATGGAAGCATATTCTTCACAGGTTCTGCTAGTAAAGGAGAGGATGGTGAATCAAGTACGTATTATGCTTGCTTGACCAATGTTTGATAAAAGCCTATTAACCACCTTTTAATTTAAAGAAGAGTTTTAACATTTTCCAAGAACATGTAAGCATGCCATTGGTTTGAATTTTACGCCAGCCACAAGTCCTGACAACCTGTGCCACCGCGTCTCCCAGCTAGAGATGTTGATCTCAGTTTTACCACAGTTTGGATTGTGTGGTGGGAGTGCTATTTTAGAGTCGTCCTGAGAAAAGGCAGTCATAAGTTTGATCAATAGGTCTGGGACTTTATCTGAAAAACTGAAGAGCCAAACTTTTGCCTCTTCACTGTTGTTTTAGAGAACTTTGGAAACAGGTGTTTTGCTGGCTTATGCCTCTCCACAATGGAGAGTTACATTGATTAGAAATTACAGAAGCACAGACTTCTGTGCTTGATCAAGCAGAACTCTTCAGACATTAGAGAAGACAGATTAATCTATCTTCAGACTAATAAATGCCTCTTCAATATAAAGTTAAGAAATTTCTTAGTTTTGATCTCTGAAGTTGTGTGTTTATGTTGAAATACACTTTATAAGACAGTGAAAGATGGCTTTACGTGTCCTAAAGCTGTGATCTGCTATGATATTAAATTAAATACTTCTCTTTAGAAAACAGACTGTTCTGTTATGTTGTGTTAGATTAATAAAAATTAAATTTAAAAAAAAAAAAAGTAAAGAACGTGTTTTGAAAAATACCTAGCTCCTGAGGATCTTAAAACAAAGCTGATATTTTTGAGTTGTCAGCCTCATGATGTGTACATATTGATAGGATAACGTAATGTATATTTCATAGATAGCATTTTCATATAGTATTGAAGCCTAACTCAAATTCAAATTAATCTCTCAATAATGTTCTAATAGTGTAGTTTGATGTTACCATTAAAATTATATACTTTTCACAAAGCAGGTTTGTGGAAAAGTTCGGTCTACTAGCCATAGAATTTAAACACAGATTTAATAAGACTGAAGTTTTTGTGCCTCAGTGCAGTCAGTTAGAAATATGATAGATAACACTCAAATGTTGGTATAAAATTCAAGTCTTTAGGTAGTAGTAGATGGTTAGAATTTAAAAATTGATTTAAAATCTTGATAAACAGCAGTGGTAGAGTTCAGCTTTGTCTCAATCAACTGTGTAGGAGTTTTACCTTTCAAGAAAGTTGTCAACAAAAACTCAGTGGGCTGCATACGTGAGGTATGGCATAGCTCATGCAGAAATAAAGCATATTTAACTTATTGTTCCTGTGAAAGATTAACTACAGTGACAGTATTCCCCAAGAATGTGTGGGTTTTCCCATGTAATAAAACTAAAATACAGGCAAGAACATATTTTAAGGTTTGATAATGCATATGGAGTGGATTCTTGAAAGTGTTCAGGGGACAGAAAGTTAATAGTAGTACTCCTGTGTAAAAGTCTTTGGATAACAAACTTGGTATGTGCTATAGTAACTTTTTAGAGTCTGAAATGCAAATCTACTGAAAACTGTGTGGGACAAAATCATACTACTTTCTCCAGTAAATGTAGAGTAAATTTAAGAGATTCAAACAAAAAGATTTCAGGAAATACATTTAAAAGCACAAATTTCAAGATTTCTGTGCGCAGTTATTGGGAAGTTATCCAAAATACAATTAAACTGATTCTTTTTGTTGTATATATAATTAATCTACAATTTCAGATGAAACAAGTTTAGCACTTTGAAGTAAATTGCTGTCACTGCTTTTGTTTAAACTAGCAAAATTTATGTGAGAAGATTTAGTGCTTACTAGATCTTCTTACTGAAGAATCTGCTCAAGGACCTGATCAAGGTCTTTCTGAGTTCTTTTAAAAATTCAACTCTCTTCTGATTCATCTGGTTCTCTTTGTCACTCTGTAATTTGGCTCAGAGTGGGTATGCTTTAATTTTTTTTCCCTGATTTCTTTTAAACCAGGGCAGGGAGACTGGGTTTCTGTCAGCAGGGGGTGTGTGTGTTCTTTGTAGAAAGTTGGTAGTTGTCAGCAAGTGAAAGTAGATGGCAGTTCTCTGACTTGGGTGAAAATTCACAGGCAGTAGTGGTAGCTGTTAGTTGTTTTATTCCAGTCTTTACCTATGTTGTAACTCTTTCGTTTAAGGCCAGATTGCAAACAATGATTTTGGGGTGGGGTTTTTTTTTAGTACTTTTTCTTCCCTTTTTCCTTTTGTGGGAATCTGTTGTGACTCAAAGGCTTTCTAAACATGGTTTTAATAAATAAAGAATTTAATATTTTTGTTTTAAAAAAATGAACTTGTGTAACATTTCTCTGTGAACTTATTGTGCATATATTGTCACATATATTCTTCTCAGGTGGCCATGAAGACTTTTTTTACTATGCGCTGCTTTGTAAAGTTCATAAAGTTAGTTCAGTATATATATAAAAGAAAAACTTAAAGAATTATTCCTGAAAGATACCTATCTAATCATGACGTTGCTTGCCACAGAATTTTTTGAGAGAAACCAGTGTAATCCAATAAAAATTAGACCAGGAGATCATACAGATGGATTTTTTTTTTCAGTAGCAGTCTGAAAACTCACCCTTAATTATAAAACAAATGTTATTGTGCCTTTGAAGGTTTTTTGGTAGAATGACTTGCAATTTATTTATTTATTTAAAGCTAAAAGCAGACGGCAATCAAAACCATATAAGCCTAAAAAAATTATTAAAATGGAAGGAAAGATTGTCATATCTACAGCGTGCAATAATGGAAGCAGTTCTGTAATTTCAAAAGATGGAGAACTCTACATGTTTGGAAAAGATGCCATTTACTCTGATAGTACAAGTAAGTTAATATTTGTCTTTTAAGTGATTTCTCAACTAGAGTAATTGAAATTAGTCTGGAAGTTTTTAGCCTGTGGAAATGATGTTTGTGTGTTTCTTACTCTCCTAATAGATTTCTGAATTTCTGCTGATTCAGCCAAATATGACAGAAGGATAGAAAGAGAAGACAGTTTCCTTAAGTTCCGTAAAAATATATAGCAGCACTGGTGACAAATACCTGAATGAATTCTTCCACTAAGGAGGAAAAAAAAAAAATCATTTTTTGTATTAATCTTACACTAGAAGGCCACACAGGGAAAAGTCACAGAAATGGGACATGTTTTGTTATGAACAAAGGCTGCAGGAAACCAGGCCTTATACATTTCTCTGCTCACAAGACAGCCTGTTTTGAATTTGCTGGTGATCCAGTACATCTCAATTTAAATAAAATATTAAAGAAATAAGCTCCAATGGTGTTATGACTTCTTCAGAATTGTTTTTCAGAACAAGTGATTTGCAGCAGAGTTTGGTTTGGTTTTGGCTTTCCTTTCTTTGCAGGACAAATGGCCTAGGCCTAATACTCATTTCACTTCTTGTTCTAGCACTTGTTTTTTATATCTGCTGTTTTTCTCCCTTGCCGTTAATTTAAAAATTGTCAGTATCCACTAGCAATTTTTTTTTATATCACTGAAGTTTCCTTCCCAAGTAGAAAGTGCAATTTACCACTCAACTGTTTTATGTCTTACAGGTTTAGTAACAGATTTGAAAGGCCATTTTGTGACTCAAGTAGCCATGGGCAAAGCTCACACCTGTGTATTAATGAAGAACGGAGAAGTTTGGACATTTGGCGTAAATAATAAAGGACAGTGTGGACGAGACACAGGCTCCATGAGCCAGGGGGGAAAAGGTGAGGCACCTAGGTTTTTCCTTCTGTTTTGTGTGCTGGAAAATATCACAAGTGAAAACATAGTTAAGCATTTTATTATAAAATATAATTCCAATACTAAAGCTTAAGTACATGCAACGTGCTTACAAAAAAAAACAGGTATGGATGCTTTCACTTCAACTGTCAGGTATTTGGTGTTCTGCACATACTAATAAACTTAGTTATGTTAAAAAAAAAACCTCGATTACTTTTCTTTTGTTGGTGAAAAAGCTTTTCTTTAAAACAAATGAATAAAACCAAACTTCATCACTCCTTGTCTTACTATGTGCCATTGTCCTAGTAAGAAAAAATTTTCTACCCTTCCTTGTTTGCCTTCAGTCTTGAGGCTGTTGTTTGCCTAAACAGGGCATGAATGCAAGTCTGTGTCTTTCTCCACACAACCGAACGTTTCCATTACTCCTAAATATAGGTATGAAAAACCATACCTATTCACCTTTGCCGGATTGGAATATTTTATACGTGACAAGTAAATGACCTGTTACTTGTATACTGAATATAAATGTTTCATTTCCCTTTTAGTTGTGAAACCTAGATATATACCCCAGCCCATGCTCAGAGGGGTTTCAAAAGTGTCATTGTGCTGGCTAAGCATGCAAATCAGGCATGCCTAGTCATTCCTTTTAAAATCTGTTCTGCGAGTGTTCTTCAGAGCTTCCTCAGTAGCCGCTGTTGGCCTCAGAAAACAGCTATTTTTTGTTTCAATATCTTAATTAGGTTTTGGAGTTGAGAACATGGCAACAGCAATGGATGAAGACCTAGAAGAGGAACTGGATGAAAAAGATGAGAAGTCCATGATGTGTCCTCCAGGCATGCATAAATGGAAGCTGGAGCAGTGTATGGTGTGCACCGTATGTGGAGATTGCACAGGCTATGGAGCTAGCTGTGTTAGTAGTGGGCGTCCTGACAGAGTACCTGGAGGGTAAGCAAACATATGGAAATATACTTGTGTGTTGAATGGCTACAGCATGTGTTGAATGTAAACTGAGTTGATGTGTTCTTAAACTTCAATCTAAGATAACATTATATCTAAAAAGAGTCTGTGCTTTTAAAATCAGAAGTGGGTTAAAATTTTTGTAAATAAAATGGTGGTTGCAGGTGACAGTTTTAAATGCATTTTTTTACATTTCTTTAGCATATAGTTCTTTACTAGAAGCTGTTGAATATGAACACTAATATAATCTGTCTCTTGTCACAGCTGCTGGCTTTGGGATAACCTTTCTTCATCCTATGATGGAAGTTTTTTATCTTGCTGTTCCAGTTGCTTTTATCTGTTACTTCAGGCTTGAGCTGCGTAAAGGGCCGCTGCTTTACATATTGCCATTACTATTTCTCCAGCATTGCATGTGCTCAGTGTTTCCTTGTTCATGTTTTCATGAGGTGTATGTTTAATTAAATGAAGAAAAGTTAATGCTGAGAAGTCAGTTCAGATATGTATGGTCAGTGTATGCTCCCTGGCACCATGCAACAGCAGCTAGGATTTAAACTAGCTATACTTTCTGTTTATCTCAGGAAAAGTTACGTGTCCACAGATGGAACAAACTAATAACCTATGTTTTAATTACCAAGGCATCAGTAATGCATGAGAATAAAAAATAGTGATAAAGCAACTCTGTTTGCTGCAGAATCTGTGGCTGTGGCTCAGGTGAGTCAGGCTGCGCTGTATGTGGCTGCTGCAAGGCGTGTGCTAGAGAACTGGATGGCCAGGAAGCAAGGCAAAGAGGAATCCTTGATGCTGTAAAAGAGATGATACCATTAGATCTTTTGCTGGGTAAGTGATGTGAAATTAGCAAGATGGCTTTTAGTTTTCTTTCTTGCTGCAACTTTTTGGTTTTTTCCTCAGTACACCTGTTTACACTCTTTAATAAACTCAATCCCACTGCTGACTTTTGAAACTTGAATTGGAATAACAGGTTACTTTAGAAATAGGTTTGTTCTTTTCAGTTAATATTTCAGTTAGTATTTTGATTCTTCTGTATGATAAAACTTTGTATCTAATGCAGTTCTTTCTTTCCAATCAAAGTACTGAACTTTTAGATTTACAGGGCAGTTTTAGTGTTAAAATGGATAAAATGTTGCTTATCAGGCAGATTTATTTATTGGTGATATAGCAAAGTAGGATCATTCTGGTAAGTGAAATATTTTAAACTTGCCCTTACTATAGACATGTGTGCCATTTTGACCTGTGTGGTTATGATACTAATGCTGATACTACAAAGTTGTTCTTGGCCTTTTTTGGTAGCCTGAAAATTTTTCTATAATGTTTTTATCAGGGTTTTTTGCAGTCACATAAAAGACGAGGAATATTGTTTCTTGAAAACTTTTTTCTTTTTTCTCTTAGAAACTTTCAGAGAGAAAGAAATTCCAGGAATGTAGAAATTACTTTTAAAAAAAACCAAAACACCTCCCATTCCCCACCCACATCCCCCAAAAAACTCACCTTAGGGGAAAAAATACCAACTGGCATGATTATTGGAAATACAGTTTGGGATCTTGCCTTGTAAGATCTGTTATCACAGCATTTTTAATATTGTTTTCTCTACTTACAACTGGGCAGTTACAGGTTTTTGGAGATCAGACTTTCCTTCCTTACTTTTTTTTTTAATATTTAGATGTACATAGAGCCCTTAATCCTGCATGGATGTATGGATATAGTATCTGGTATAGAAAAGGACCATAAAATAATGAGATGCGTGACTTAAAATATTTATATATCTCACCAATTTATCTGGGAGGGGGGAGGGAATAGTAATAATAGAAAATTATATGCTATACTTTGCATGTGGGATTTTTTTTTCCCCAAGCAAAAGTTAAATAGAAACTAGAAATGGTTCTCTTGATAAGTTAACACTAAGGACCCCAAATAACCTCACTGTGCAGTCCTGATACTTCCATACAGATATTTCTAAATGTAATTTGCTTGTATATGGCTATCACAGAAGTAGGTTTATACTGATGGTGAATGTGGCAATAGCAGCTCTGCTTCACAGCTCTATTCTCATGCATGACCAGGGAGGAGTTATGGGTTTTGTGCTAACCTCAGCTTTGGTAACTCCTCTCCTAGCAGCATAGACAACAGCTCTTGGTCCTGTGTTGGGCTTGGCATAGTTTGAGATGAGGGCATTGAACTGGTTGACCACATTTGTCTGGAGAAAAGTGACAGTGCTTCCAGGTGGAGTTTCTGTTTGATATTGGGGACAAGGTATATATTTTTATGTTGCAATTTGCTGAAAAAACACTGGAAAAAGGTAGTGCTTATAGTAGTTTTATTGTTGCGTTCATTCCAGTCATGTTTTCTGTTTAAAAAAGTGCTTATCAGTTTGCTTCAAATTCCTGTTAAATTAGCTAGCTTGGTAAATAAGTCAGATTTACATACAGATGTGTACGTGCATTAAAGTAATTGCATGCTTCTTAGTAAGCACAGAACATACAGTGGGTAAAGCATTCTTAAACTAAAAAAAATCTAATCTATTTAAAACGTTTTTAAAATATAAGCAATTTTATTCTTATTTTAATAATAATCCTTTCTGAAACTTTCTGGGGAAAAACTGAGATAACCATGACAACACATAATTAAATATAAATATGTATATACCTAATAGAAAGAAAGTACTAAATACTATTCAGTGATGTTGGAGTTGTAGCAGATTCATGAAAACCAGGAAATTCAGAGATAAGGCCTAAAACTCTTCTGCAAAGTTACTCATCTCCTTTCTTTATTTCTAAATATGGTGTCAGAGCCATGTAAAGAGTAGGTAGTAAGTAGGCTTCAGTTTTCATTTACTTAACTTCTAGGGTTTATTACCATCATAACAATTTTTAAAGATAGTTTTACATATTTTATTTTCTTAATCTGTGTAGCTGTCCCTGTTCCTGGAGTTAATATTGAAGAACACCTTCAGTTACGGCAAGAAGAAAAGCGGCAGCGTGTAAATAGGAGACATAGATTGGAAGAAGGAAGAGGTAAGTGACTTTCTTGTTGATGAGAGGCTTAAATAGTTTAAGCAAACTTTTAGTCTCTTTTCTAAGAATGGAAATTAATTAGTTTTGCTCCAGTGAGCCGATACAGTAACCAAACAAAAATCAAAACATAAATAACTAGCTTATGTTATTTAACATGCTTTTGGAAAATTGTGAAAGATCTGTATGTTTAACAAAGTCTGCTCAGAATTTTAATGGTGAAGAGTAGCATTTTACATCACTTTCATATAGTTAATTTTAATTTTTTGCTGTTTCCTAGTTGAATAATAGTTTTTTAAAATGTAGATGCTAAAACATTTTTTATATGAAGTTTATATGCTTTTTTATATGAAGAGTTGAAATGACTGCAAGCCTGTTTAGTGCTAGTTACCAATTATTTAATTATTATTATTATAAATTATTGAATTTCTGTTGTATAATAGTAAGCAGAATTTCTTGTTTTATAAATTGAACTTTTCTATATTTGAATAGCATGAAAAAATTGATACGCTGCCTGAATTAAAAAACAAAACAAAACACTGCATTTCAAAATTTTCTTGCCTTGTGTATTATCTACCTCAGGAATTATTGTTGATTTTCCAAACAAACAATATGCACTTTAACAGCTTTTCAGTACTCCTCTTGTTTTAAAATACCTCGGTGTCTTAATGTGCTAAATAAAGTTGAGAGATTTAGACGGATATAAATCGTAATATTTTAGTGAAGCATGATGATGTGGTTGGTAAGATTATTGTGTGTTGAGAAGAGGAACAACTTTATTGGAATTTTATGCTCTTCAAGTTCCAGTTGTGTTAGTAAATACCGTTTTGATTCTCCTTTTAGGCATTAGATACTGTTTTTACCCAGATACAGAAGGCACATTCTGATCAAACTTAGTTCCTAGACTCCATGCCAGTGAACCTTGTAGGGCAAATTGTGGTTTTATTTCACTTGCATGTGAGAAATTACTGGTCTTACCACAAATAAGGAGCAACAAGGAAGAGAAAGCTTATAGTTTCCTATGCATGTAGAAGAGGATGGAATATTTGTTTTTCTTTGAATCTTCGTGGTTAATTTTAGCTGTGAGGTGGAGAAGGGAAGCCTTTTTTTCTTCCTTTGTCTAGGTCATGTTGGAGCTGCATTGCATACTGCTGGGAAATATTAGGTACAGCTAACAATCGTTTTTTCTTAAATCCTCATTGAATGCCCGGATATTATTGAAAGCTGCTGCTGTTCAGCCCAGAAAGGTAATGATGACACAGCTGGGAGGTAAATTTTGGTTGGAGGGGAAAAAAAAAAAAAAGAGCAGCAGAGAAACATTTCAGTTTGCTTCCATTTCTGTGCTTAGAAGGAGAACCAGAGCAGCTTATCCCTTTTGTATGCCATCTGTCTCTTAAAAAAACAAAAAAACACCAACCCAAACTGTTTTGGATCTAACAGAGTCTCAGGTGATCAATATCAGGAATGTGGTGTTGTTGTTGGTTTGATAGGTGTATAGGGTCTGTAGCTAAAATGATATTGCTGACCGGTTTGTTGCACACATCCGTATCATATTCTGTATAAGAAGAACATTGAAATTCTATACCTATGTGGCTACTGGAGGTAGTGGGTATGTCTAGCTGGAAGGGTTGGAGATTAGTCTCCTGTTTCAGTTCAGAATGACTTATGTGGTAAAGCTGGGAATAATGTTTCGCGAATACTTAGAGATCTTGATTTACATAATCAGGTATGAAAATTTGATTTGATAATCAGTCTTGATTTACATAATCAGATGAAAAAATTGGAAGTTTGTTGCCTCTGCATCCAGATGTCGCAGTTTTCCATGAGTTGGTGGAAAGAGTAGCACCATTCTTGAGAACTCTTATGGTGCTCTTCTTTTCGTGAGAGAGACCAAGAACATTTAAATAATCTACTAGATTTTAATTTTGCTGTGAAAAAGGTTTTGCAACTAGAAAAAAATTAGTTATACGGATGTTAAAAAGAATAGGCAGACTGCTTAGTTTTCCCAAAAAGTTCTAGTATCTGTGCACATGTAAGTGAACACATCTTTCCTCATGAAATAGATATTTAAAGATCCAAAGAAAGGTTTCAACCTTTCACTTCTCTGAAAACATTGCTTAGTCAGTTAAAGGCCAGATTAGCTCTGTTAGGGTCTTTGTTTCAGGTACACAGTGTTTTGTTTGTCAGGATTATGATTTCTGGGTTGCAATGTGTTATTAGATAACTGTTTTTCTATATTAGGGGTTTGCCTCCCTATTTTATTATTTAAAAAAAAAAAAAACCAACCAAACATCACCTCTCTGTTTTTTCTCTTACAAGTATTCCAGAAGCCAAAAATAGGGTTTTACAAGATAAAGTTCCATCCAGCCTAGGACTTCCTGTGCAACCTTAATTTATACTACTTCTGTGTGTTCCTCATGATACAATCTTCAATTGTGTGGTCGTGTACTATTTTTTAAGGTAGCCTGCTACATTCAGTGCACTGGTGTAGAAGTCACCATTTGAGATAATTGATTTCAGTCTTCTGTAAACACAGCTTGCCAAATAGCATTTGTTTAGGGAAAGGTACTAGAAGAAATCAAGATATGTGTAATATAAATTCAAATCAAATAGTAAACTCTTTGATAGTTCTGCCTAAGTGCTTAGATGGCCAAGAATGCAAAAGCACATAAGTGCATGTAGCATGATATTAATTGTGTATGTTTTCCTGTAGTCCACTGCATTATTTAATAAATGCATTCTATTTTGCTAGAAAATGTGGATAAATGTTTTTTTCCTTTATGCTCCTAATTCATTTCCAGACAAAGTCCATCTTGAAAGGTCTGGATCCTGCAGGACCAAGAAAGAAAAGCTAATCTTGATGTTTCCTCGGCTAGGGATATTTAACCTCGCAGCTTAGCTATGAAAAAATATTCTATAAAAAATAAAAGGAGAGTGTGAATGTCATTTTGCATCATATAGCAACTGATTTAAAATAGCAGCAGTACAGTCTACCAGTGACTCTCCTTTGCTTATCTCTGTAACTTGAGCTACTAAAATAACTGAGAATAGTAATAGGTTGTTATTTTCTATGTAGATCTATGGTAGACGCTTCTAGAAGAGTTTTTCAAATAATACTCTGCAGGCATTTTTAAATAAAATAAAGGAAGTGTCTAATGCATGGCTGAATTATTCCACCAGAATAATTCATAGTGCCTAAACTCTGCTCCCTTTGTACAGGCAACCTCAGATGTAAGCAGCTACCAGATATGGTCTGTATGAATTTGTTCTAGTGTTTTGTTTCCTGTGGTGTTATTTTGGAGGGAGAGGGAGGTACTTCACATTGTGCCAGCACATGACTGAACATGCAGGCATCATAATGTAATCAAAATGTAGATATTTTCTATCATACTATGATTATGTTACAGATTTAGCATGAATAAAAAGCCAAAGAAGATGACAGACTTGCACATCCTGTTGCATGGATTGGATACAAATTATTATGAAATGGAGATCTATTGCATTTAACTTTATTTTGGATTCAGGTTCTATACATAATGGGTGGGAATGTAGAGTATATAGGAATATCCAGAAGCAAAGATAAATCCTGCTTTGGTCAGAAGGTTAGATACCGTTACAGAGTTGTCATCTTGACTAAGGAAGTGTAATTCAGATGAGTGTCTTAGCAACTAAAGGCAGCCGTGTGCTAGCATCATGCTGGAGCTGACAGCCTTTTGTGCTTCCTAAACATTCTCTATCTCCCAAATCTCCTGTAGTTCTTTTACTCACCCTAATGTACTCACTTCCCTCTGTCCTCCTGAAATTCTCTCTTTTTTTGCCATCTTTGCTCTTAGCACTAAAATGCCAAAGGCTGCCTTCAGGGCTGTGTGTCGTCCCCTGGGCTATTTGTTGTGCAGGCATTTCCTGGAACTTCAGAATTTTTTGCCTAAATTATCTAGTGATCACATCTTCTGTTTGATCACCCACAAACATCTTAGATCCACACACTTCAAGCTGCACTCTTTGCAGTCCTTGCATCTCTTTTTGCAACTTTTCTAATCTGTGTTTCACTTTTGTCATATTGTCATGTCCATTCTCTATTTCTTGGGCTCTTCATCTCATTAGGAACTTCTCAGTAAGCAATTCCCATTTTTTTTTTTCTTTTTTTTTTTTTTCTTGTTTTCTCTTGTTCTTCATCCAGCTTTTCCCTGTATGTTTTGTCCTTCAAACATTTTTAGCTTTCATAATCTGCTTGTCATTCATCTCTCTCTCCTTTCTTGCCTTTTCCTGGTCTGCCTCAGTATACTCCTCAGTATCTCCCCTCCAACTTGGAAAGAGGGGAAGCGTGGTATAATTTTTTGTGTAAGTCTAAACCCTGGGAAGCAGGATATTAAACACAGCAAGTGGCCTGGCAGAAAGTTGTCTTTACCAAAAATGTATCTATTAAATGGAAGCTCCAATTGAGAGGAGACTATGAAAAGTGGGAGCAATAGCAAGACAACTAAAGGAAGAATCTGCAAGATGAAGTTAAAGCAAAAGCAAATAAAAATCCTTGATCATTAGAAGGAGTTCTTAATTAACAAGGGGACCTTTTCTGGGGTAGAGAAAGTCCAGATAAATACACTAGAACCAAAACAAAAAATCTATGCTGTGTATAGAAACATACATGATTAATGAGGGTTTTGGCCATTATATTAGCTAACAGAGGTATGAATCTCAAAGGTAGGGGGAAAGGCAGTAGTGGATTTTTAAAACATTTTTAATTTTCTTTTTTTAAGTTAATGCTAAAATTTGGGAACTTCTTTGTGTGAAGACAAGTTTCTTCATCTGAAGGTTCTAAAGCTAGATAGATTTGGCCTAACTTCCACTTACATTTCTTTCCGTACTGTTTACTATTAGTGAAGGAACTGATAGCCTAAAGCTGACAGCAGGAAACCTGAGACAATGGACATTTATGAAAAGTTAGCCTACATTTTAACTTGTCAATAAAGTTCAGCTAAGGAAATAGAGTATCAGTGATTTGG